AAAAAAACAAACAACACACACACACTCACAGACACACACACAAACAAACACACACACACACAAATCTCAGATCAACATCGTAACGGCTGTAAGAACCCCTACCCTCCCCCCCAAAACAAAATAATATTAAAAAACCAAAAAACAAAAAAACCCACTAACATTTTTTAATGGAAGGGAGATAATACTTGCGGAATCGAAAGTGGAGTGATGACTTCTTACAGTTAACTCCCCTATCATTGGCTCCTCACTCTTCACAGCCTCTAATTGGGTTCACTGCTTCGAAATTTAAAGTTGATCGAAAAACCAATCACACCCCCCCAAAAAAAAACCCAACCCCCCCCCCAAAAAAAACAAAAACAAACATACAATCAATCAATCAAACAAACAAACAAACACATGAGCAATCAAAATAAACAAAAAAGTACAAAACGCGCTCTCCCATATAATGCCAATTGCATCACACCTTGGCTTTTCAACTACATGTTGTCATACTTCAATAATACCCTTTTTTCGGTAATAAAAATCACACGCAGCTATTCTGGCCTCTCAAACACATTTGCACAGTCTCAAAACCGAATCAGTCATAATCTTCTTTTACATCAAGAAGGTACAACAATTTTCATTTCAGCTGAAATTTACAAATTCGCCCACCCACACATATTTTTATTGCACAGAAACGTCCGGGATATCACGTTATTGGCGAGGCAACATGTCCCTCAAATACGACATATCACGGTGAAAAAAAATATTAGTTTACGTGAATTGCTCATTAGGATCAAAACACACATACACACACACACAAACACGCAAGCATTATTTTGTTATCGAGTTTTGGTTTTACATGATGCTGTCAAGCCCCTGCTGCTACTGCTGTTGCTGTTGCATCTGTTGCTGCTGCTGTTGGTGCTGTTGCTGTTGCTACTGTTGCCGTAACTGCTGTTACTGTTACTACTGTTGCTGTTAATACTGTTGCTGTTGTTGTTATTACTGTTACTACTGTTATTGTTACTACTGTTACCGTTAGTACTGTTGCTGCTGTTGTTGTTGTTACTGTTAGTAATACTACTATTATTGGTACTGTTTGTGTTTCTTCTTGTTTTACTGCCGTTCATGTTGGGGTTTTTTTTTATTGGGGGAGAGGAGTTTTTGTCGGTGTTGTCTGTTTAAGTGGCGTCGCGGTGGTAGTCCAGGGGTTAGTTTACCGGACTCATTACCGTGAGGTTCAAACGCAGGCCCGAGGGTGTGTCCTTGGGAAATACACTTTTGTTTTTTTGTTTTTGTTTTTGTAAAGTGTTTTACTGCGCTCGCAACTGCATAAGGTCATATGAGCGCGCGGGACACACCTAGATCTAATATTTTCAGCAGATAGGAAATTTTGATTTTTTGCCCGGGTGGCGGCCGAAGCCTACTATTATCGATTTTAGACCACCAAGGGATCTTTAACGTGCGCAACTTGCACTCGGGCCCTCCGAGATTTTTCGCCCTTGTCCGAGAAGGCTAGGTGTAGATCTTTCCTACCAGAAGATCTGGGGTGTGGCAGAAAGACAGCAGTAAGGAGGAGTCAAGGAGTAGCAGTAGAAAGGCTGCAGAAAGAGTCAGGAGCCCAGAGGAGGTGGCAAAGGAGGTGAGGGGGTGGAGGCAGAAAGTGGAAATGAAAGCAGACAACAGAACATTGCTAGAGGGCAGGAAAGGAGGTGAAAGGAGACAATTTTAGAGAAGAAAATTTTTTGGTCGCTACCCGGATTCGAACCCGGGACCTTTGAATGAGAGGCCAACACCTTAACCTGTAGGCCACGAGAGCCCCCAAAGACACTTTACAAAATGTTCCTCTTTTCACCCGGGTGGGAATGGGTACATGGCCACAGATATCGGTTCTTCAGTTGGCCCGTATAACTTCTCCTGTAGTGTATAGGGTTGGCTACATTCCCCCCGTTTCTTATTTCAGGGCCCTCTGTGTCCTGCGCGACTGGAGGATGTGATCCACAGTTTGGTTCGCTTCCCCACACTGCATTTTTGGTGACTGTAGTTGTTTAAAACATCTGTGCATGTGTTGTCTCAGTCTTGTGTGCTGTTTTGTTAGTCTGAAGACAATAACTTGTTCTTGGCTATACAGCTCATGGTAGTTATCTGGTGTCTATGGTGCTATAAATAGTATTTTTAATGAGAGCTTTCATTTCTGTGTAGTTAATGATGTTAATCGCAAGGCAGTTCAAGCAGCAAGCAAGCGCGAGTAGAGACTATTCCTTCAATCCATCAAAAGTTTCGTGCCTTGTAATTTATACATACTTTCATTCATTAAAATATAACGAAGACAAGCTGATAAACTATACCAAGGCCAGAAGGAAAACTTTTACAGGAGAGAGAATAAAACTTTAAAAAAAAAAATTGTACCTTCATTATGCATTTTTTTCACTTTTTTTTTTCAACATTTAAAATATGTATTTCGACAAAATATTCCTAGAATACATATAACAGATGCCGCCACAGATTAAGAAACTTCAATTTAAAATAAACATTCCATATTAAATTTTGGGCTTTGGTACATTTTAACAGCTGTCCCACAATTTTCTCAAGAGAAAAAAAGTCGAATCAGTCACTCTGAAACATTTGACGACATGATATCACGACTCGTCCAGCTGTAGAAATAGTCACAGTAACAAAATAATATAAATCACATTATCTAATGAGATGAGATCAAATGGTAAAACGTTGCGACCCGCGCTTTTTCGAGACACTCGCACATCGACTGCGCACGCTATTTCGGCTATTTCCGTTTTCCGTCGTCGCGAGCGGAGATTGTTGACTTCCGCTTCGACTCATCGTTTTACCCCCAGTTGCCATTTTATGGTAGCCAGTCGTGACAGACACAGAGTGATAACGAGGCCGCTGCTGTTGCTGTTGCTGCTGCTGCTGTTGCTGGGTGCTCTTAGCGGTGAACTCCACTACAGCCTCGGCGTAGTCCAAACATAGAGAGTCTGCCCACGATTTGGGCGGGAAGCCTTCCAGAAATCCACAATGACCTCCCTTGCTCGTGACCGCGAGCAGAAAATTTGGATAACATTTGAAAAGATCGAAGGGAATGTCTGCACACTGGCATGTGGGATCGTCTAAACTGTTGATGCACAACAGGGGAACCTCGATATCGTCTACGTCACGTATCGGGTTGTTCATCTCCCAGAACTGCTCCACGTCCTGGTAGCCGTAGAGCGGACAGAAGAGGGAGAGGTCAAGGTCGGAGAAGTTCCAGGCCGACACAGCTTTGTCCACCTCCAGAACGGTGCTCAGCGCTTTGGCGTGTCGGAACAGCAGAGTTTTCAACCTGACGAGCAGGACGAGGTCGTAGAGGTTGGAGATGGCGGAGGAGAAGCGGAGGGGGACATCGTAGCACGGGGAGATGCACGCGCCCACTGTGAGTAGCGCTGAAGAGCCGAATTCTCCTGTAGATAGAGGATAGACTGGGCTTTTTAACAGTCAGCTAGTTAGCCGTTTACGGAACTTGCAAACACAATTGGGTATAAATTCTGCATTAAAATTCTTTTGGTAAGAGTTTTGCGGCACTTGCAACACAATAAAGTCGTGATCGTATAAGTGCCGAAGATTAGAGGTGTTAGAAGAGAGAAACAAACCTAAAGAAAGAGAAGAAGAGATATATGGAGGGCACCTGCAGTACAATTAGGTCAAACCTCTAAAACATTATCTATACAGAATAAATTAAACACGATAAGAATGCACATCGTGTAAATAACTCAATAACCCCAAAATGGACATCTCAGTTACTTTGTAAAAAAAAAAAGCCGAAGATTAGAGGTTTTATAATCAAGTAATAAACACTAAAAAGAAAAAAAAAAACGAAGGAGGAGAGATAAAAAGATAGATTTTTGATTGGAAGGAAGGAGCAAACCACACCAGAGCACCTGCTAATCACCAGCATAGAATGATTTGATTGTTTGAGTAAATCGAAGTGCAATAGAACTTACGATTAGGAAAGATAAGGTACATCTTATCGAACAGATCGAACAGATCCTAGCACATTCGTTTGGTGTTTCACCACGTATACATGTACAAACACAC